ATCTGGGGGTGTATTCTTTCCAAACAGTTTTGAGGACCACTGACGGTTTTCTATCCAAAATTTGGGACACAACCAGAAGAGGTGTATGACCTTTTACTGTATGATCCGGTGTCTAACATTAATAGAGGACTGGTGAATGTTGCTCAAACCCTCCTCCCAAACCTCATTAGGAATTTTAGTATTAAGGTCTTCTCTCCCAGCATCTTTCAGGTGATGAACACACATTTCCTAGGGAAAAAGGAGACTGTGATATTAAATGTCTAGATCTGTTGTGTCCTTGCACAAGATCATGGAAACAGATCTCATCGGGGTGATTCTCAAATTCAGGCACATTTGTCTTAACAAAGTGTCTGACCTGTAAATAATGAAAAAAGTGTGATTGTGAGGGACCAAATTTGTCTTTTAGCTGAATAAAATGATGCAAATTGTTCATTTATATATCATTTTGTAAAAGTAATTGTTCCTTTTTACTGTCCATTCTACATTCTTTATTTTTTTGTGAGGAGTAGAGGTATGGTTGTAACACATAGGAGTTTTAACAGGTTTTTGTGTAAATTATAAACAGGTTTAATCTCATTTAATATTCTCAGGGTGTTAACACTTCTTTATCATTTTTTGGCGATCCAATTTTACAAGATGGGAGCTGGGGAAATTTCAAATTGAAGCACATTTTCCTTAACAAAGGATTTGACTTGCAAATAATGAAAAAAGTGTGTTGTGAGAGGCTGAATGTGTCTTTTAAGTGGTTAAACAATGCAAATTGTTCATCTATATACAAATCTTTAAAGGTAGTCAGTCTCTTTTCCACCCATTCTGTGAACACTTCAGAAGCAGTAAAGGCATGGTTGTAAAAAAACTGGAGCCTAACCTGACGATTGTCACAATTTGTAAAACATTTTTAATCTAATTTAATATTTTGAGGAACACACAGACAATGACACTTCTGCCTGAGATTTTATTTGATGGTTCAATTTTCCTAAAAAGCAAAGCAGGGAGAAAGGTGTAGTGCCGACGTGTGCGTCCATGTCTGAGCACACAGGAGTGTTCCTATCTCTACTAGATTAATGGTGAAGGCCAGCTTGCCAGTATGTTATGACCCTTGGGCTGCTCAATGCCACCATCAGCAATTTGGAAACTGTGGATCCCAAAGGAAGACTCCACCTACTGGTTCACCATTAGGTTACTTGTTCAGCAGCAAAAAGGTTTCCCTTGGAGTTATGCCTGTGAAACTTTTAGTGTAGCTCTTTCGCTACACGCTTGAACTGCCCCTCCCCAACAAACCACACACAGACTGGCATCAGGCCAGTTCCTCCCTTCACAAAACGGAAACTACAACAGTGGAGAACAAAACCAAGCCACAAGAAAACAGCCAAAACAAATACAACAACTGTGATGCTTCCAAGCGCTTCACTTGAGTTTATTTCTTAAACTATCTGAGCCAAATAAACCACAGGCAGGCAAACGGTCAACCTCAAGTCCAGCAGAAACAAATATTTTGCCAGTTGATATAGCAACATCAACGCAAAACAAATATGAAAGAGTTGTTAAATATGTGGGTGTCTGAGAAAAAAGGAGAAAATCAGAAACTTTAATGATGTGAATTCTTTGTTCTCTGGCACAGTTTTGGTGAAGAGAGAAGTAATTCAGGTACATAACTATTGAATAACAATGACAATACCCATTCTACAAACACATAAACATACAAGACAATAACTTTTCCTATGTCCACATTTTCAGACAAAGGCAATTTAGAGGCCTAACGTCTTAAAGCCCAGAAAACCCCAGACTGTTACCAAGTATTCAAACTCATATATAATGGCTACAAAGATCAAAAAAGAGATAAGATGCCTTCCAAACTAAGTAGAATACTACCTGCCGTTAAATCTCTCTGAGTCTGCAAACACTGATGCTGCAAAATAAATAGGAACCCATTTCCCTATTTGAAAATGCGGCCAATAATCAGGAGAAACTGTTTTTAACTGAGGGATTCTTCAGTCAGGACCTTCTGGACTGTTGATTGACACTCAATCCATTACCCAGAACTTAGTAAGGTACTGTAAGCCAAGGCAAACTTTAGGATTGCTTTTATCACTGAATCCGGACCCCCAACATCACAGCTTTGAAACTGGAAATGTTTACACTGCCAAATCTTACTTGATCTAGATTCTTAGAGACACTTCGTAGTCTCCTATAGCTGAAACATATTTAAAGTAGACAAGTCCAGAATATTACATGCACATGGCAAAGAATACTTTAGATTACTGTATATAACTTTGGTAGCCATGTTACATAAAAGATAGTGCTGGACCAGGTTCAGTCTAGGTATGTGTGAACAGCAATCCTGGGAACCACGTCTTCAATGCATTTATTGATGTAGCCAGTAACATAGTCGTCATACAGATTGATATCATTTCCGGCAGCTTTGTGGAAAATCTGCCAGTCGGTGGTAGCAAAACAGTGACTTAATATAAAATCAGTTTCATCCGATCAACGTTGAATGTTTAAAGTTGCAGAATGGAGGCGTGATCAGATTTGCCGAAAGGAGGTCGTGGGAGGGCTTTGTAACCATCCCGGAAGGGAGTGTAAACATTGTCCAACGTGTTTGTTCCGCGTGTCGGACATTAGCGGCTGTGAGCTACCAAACATCCAGGATATCTACTCAGCTAGATGTCTGAAGAAGGCCAGGTCCATTCTCAAGGACCCCAGTCATCCCAGTCACAAACTGTTTTCCATCCTACCATCCGGTAAACAGTATCGAAGCATTCGGTCAAAGTCCAACAGACTACAGAACAGCTTCTACCTCCAGGCAATAAGACTGCTAAACAGCCAACCTGCAGCTGCTTTAGCAAATCACCTTTAATGGCTACATGGACACACGGTTTCCACTGTATTTAGCATAACTGCACTATTTAGACATAATGTATTGCATACGCCCTAAAAAAAAAGCAGCTCTATTTATATTGAGTTTTGTCCGAGTTTATCTTATTCAATTTCTATTGCACTATTATGTAACCTTATTTTGTAACTTTATTTTTTTTACCCCCCCAGTGAGCTCGTAGAAAAGACATTTCATTGCCAGCAACTACTGCTGCACGCTGTATTGTTGTGCATTTGATAGATAAACTTTGATTGACTGACTGAGAATAGTGACCACATGCTGGACCTTTTCATTCTTTAATAGAAAACACTACAAGACTACAAAGAGACCTAACCCACAAATTCAAAATCCTTGAAGGTGTCAAAAAAGTCACTGGAATGAACATCTTCGGTGTCAGAGAACATCTCGCTATTACATAACAATGAAACAAAACCCACAGGTTCGAAGCAGAAATGTGGAAATGGGTTTAAATCTGAGAAAGGCGCTTCTAGACACACAGGGCTGTGGAAGTGTGGTACAATTAGCTGGGCTTGGTGTAGATGCTGAAACCAGGGGCTCTTTCAGTAGATGTTTGGAAGTTATCTTCAGCTCAGAGTTACTAAACACAACCATTGAAGAAAGCCTGAATGGTCTCCTCTCGTTTGTGATTTTTTTAATGTTCTTGGAAAAACAGAAATACAAATACAAGTATATTTAACATACTTATTTTTGTTAAGTAGTGCAAGAAAAAATGCAGTCAGAAAATGAAATGAGATTTGTTAAATTCCATCTCTAGAACTTAACACAAATACATTAAAATCAACAAATAAAGAACAAGAAATTGCCTAAATTAACGTATCTCATTAAACAACACCCAATTGTACCTTGTTAAGTCTATATTATACACTGTTCATTGTCTGTGCTGGACCTTTAAATTTAGCAACTGGTAGAACCTCCTCCAGCAGCAGTGAGCTCAACCAAATGTTTCCTGTAGCTGCTGATCAGTCGGTTTGGGGGTATTCTGGTCTCTTCCTGTTTACAGGACTGCTTTTGGACTTCAGTGGATTACTTTGCGGTGTCCTACCCACTGTAAGATGACCAGAGGAAGGGTCATCCAGGACAGGTATTTTAGGAACAATCTGCTCACTATTCTTGACTTAGACCTGACCAAGATGGCCTCTAAGAGAAACCAGCTGACCAGCAGATGGAAAGGGCTCAGTCTGAAAGACAACAAGACGCAGGTGGGTCTCATCAGGAAACAAAATATATATGCCCTGGAAACAGTGAACCGGCATGGAAGCCAGTAGGTGAATGCGTTTTGGAGGAGATAGTGGAGTTTGGTCGGTGTGGATATAGATTTAAGGACAACGGATTTATGGAATAAATAAAGGATAACGGTATACGGTTTGTGATTTGGACTCGGAACGGATTTGTGGGAATTTATGGACTTTTGGAACATGGACTGAATAAGGATAGAGAAAACAAATTGCGGACTGGCTGGGAAGATGGATGAGCGAAAGAAAAGGAGAAAACTTCCTGAAAATAAAAGAAGAGTGTGTGGTGTGAGTATCTATTACATAAACCTATTCCCCTGGAGGCACCACACCACACACACCACTCTTGTTCAGTGTTTGTCTTACTGTGGACTCATGAACACCGACATCAGCCAGTGCCAGAGACGCCTGCAGATCCTTATCTACTATTCCAGGGTTCTCGGTCACCTCTTTGAGGATGTACCCCTCATTCTTGCAGTAATTGTTGATGGACAACCACTCCTAGGGAGAGTACCATTGGTGCTGAATTTGTTCCACCTTAACACCATCTGCCTGACTGGGGACTGATGGAGGCCTCAGTCTCCAGAAATGCATTTATAACCCTTTCCATTCTGATGAGCATCAACACATCTTCTTCTAAGGTTTTTTTAAACTCTTTTAAGCAGAGCGTGTTTGACAAATCTGTATGGTGAAAAGCAGACTCTGTTGGTACCTAAACGTACTGTGTAATGTAAAAGACAGGACCTCAAACTCACACCTAAATGTCATCTCATTGGCTTGTTCAGCAGATTTGAGCAGATTCTCAGATGGCTCAAAGTCATAGCAGTCTGTATCAATGAATTTCTGCAAGACATCAGCTTAACAAGAGTTTAGTGTGCGAGCAGACCTCTGAATTCTGTCTTTATGTGATGCACAGTGCTGAATGGCCTTTCCACATCACTGTTGGAATCATGTAGCACCAAAAGCAGTTTCATCAATTTGCAGAGCTCTTTGAATCTTGCCTGCCCTGTTGACACTGACTTTACTCTGGACATCTCCCCCCAGAAATCATCCAGAAAATTAATCCACAGTTACACTTCCAGATGTAACTGTTCTCTGGTATCTTCCAGCAAATCTTTCAACCAAAAGGATGATAGCTATGCCCTGTCTTGGTCTCAGCTATCTGAATTGACAACTGACAGATTTTTCAAGACCTGATCTGCAATTGGGAACTTCTCCAGAATGTTTTTAAAGCTTCTCATGTAGAATCTTCTGGCCTCTGTGAAGAATTGTTGTGTCTTGTGAGGTGAAACTTCTTGTCCCTCCTCTCCTCTTAACAGTCTCCTTGCCAGGAAGCCAGTGTAAAGCCCTTCATCTGGGCAGTGAATTTCAGTGTTGGTTACATCTAGGTTTGCTATGTTTTGCACTTCTCTCAATTCCTTTGGCCGAATGAACCTGCTGCTGTCACGCAAAAGCTCTTCAACACTCCCATCCAAATTGTATACGCTAGGCACCTTGGTTTGAAAAACTAAGTTAAATTTGTCAAAACATTGTGATAGAAGCAAGAGTCGACCTTTAACAGGGGGTCTTTAAGTCTTGTGACATGACTGCTGATTCTCACTCATTGACTCAAAATATGAAAGGAATGCTGGCCACTGGTGAATGAGGTGGTCCAGACCTTTGCTCAGTGAAAGCCAGCGTGTAGGACAATGTTTCTGGACTCTCTCCTCGGCAACATTGCAGAACTCTTGAAACTCTTTCAGGTCTTCTGTTTTTGAACTCTTCTCAAAGAAACTGTATATGTCAATGAGAAGATTTTCAGGTGCTAATGAAAGCTTTTTAGCTGCATTCTTGGCACAAATATTGACAAGGTGGCTTGGTCAGCCAACACTGTAAATGTACGGAGCCTGTGCTTTCACTCTAGATAACACAGAGTTTTTACCCATCATCACATTGCAGTTGTCTCTGCGAACGCCAATGCAGTTAGACCATTCCAGGCCTGTGTTTTGCAGTGCTGAGGAGATGCAGTTGAATATATTTTCTGCTTAGGCATTATTGCACACTGGCATGTCTATAAACCTACCTGTGACTCTTTCACGCTCTTCATCATAGTACCAGGCTAGTATGGCACACTCCTTTTCACACATGATGTCATTACTTTCATCAACCATGATACTTTATGGCCTTTTTTCAGTTTGAATATACTTGAAAAGATTCTCTAAGCATTCACGCCCCATTGCCATATTCATGATTGCTGCAGTTTTAGTTGATGAGCAGGCATGGTGTTTGGCTATTTCTGAATCTGGAAACATTTTTCTGAATAGTTTCCCTGTGTGCTGGCTTATCTGGAAGGGCAAGTAGTGCCCTACAATAAAATATGTGAACTGCACCCCTGCGCTGGTCACCTCTTCTCTCAGACTTTCCTGTTGCTGTTTTGGTAAGAAACACTTTGATTTGAGCTCCTTAGACCTCTCCCTGTGCTTTGCCTCCCTAACACGCTGCAGTCCCTGAAGAAATAAAATCACGCCTTTCACAAAACAAGCATGTACTGCAATCTGTATTCATAATGCAGTTATGCATTAAAAATGATAATGCCATTAAAAATGTAATCACTTTACCAAGAAAGCTAAATTAAATTAATTCAGTTTCATTATATCCAGTGAGAGATACAATCTACCTTCAATCCACCCCTTCACACACTTATATCAAGTAGCTACTTTATAGCTCTATAAGGCAGCTCTATTGTTATGGGTGCAGCTGGCGTCAATTAACCCTCATTATCCAATTTCCATTCCACACCCCTTCCTTCACTATTTACACCCTCTGTTCACTACGAATCATTGCTCGGTATTAAGAATCTATCTGCCTCCTGAGCTTCGCATCATCCTCAAGACCTTCATATTCAATCTATCTCTCCCAGACCTCAATTACGAAGGCTCTTCTAGCCAAGGACCTCTCAACAAATTTCGTCTCGCCCCTCTCGGATTTGTTTGCCTTGTTGCTCTCCCTCTCTCTATCCGGATTCGGCCTGGATCTCCTGCCTACTCTGCTGCCTCGCCCCTCTCTGACCCATAAGTCATGGGACTCTCTTGGAGACCTGTACAGGGTTCTTAA